TTATTGATTACATCAACATAGATTTCCAGAGTTATAAGACAATATTATCTCATTCTGCATTCATGTGAGTTTATGAATAACACAGGATATTTTTAACCTGTTTCACTTTAAATCTGTTTTAGAAGAAGAGATTCATCCTTCTGTACTTCAAATATCCTATGGCACAAATTAGAAATAAAATAATTTAGCCAGGCACTGGTGGCTCATGCCTGTAATCCTAGCTACTCAGGAGGCTGAGATCTAAGATCATGGTTCAAAGCCAGTCCAGGCAGGAAACTCTGTGAAACTCTCTAATGAACCACTAAAAAAAACTGGAAGTGGCAGTGGCTCAAATGGTAGAACACTCACCTTGAGCTAAAGAGCTCATGGATAGCACCAAGGCCCAGAGTTCAAGGCACACAACCAACAAAATAAATAAATAAAAATAAAAAATAAATTAAATTTATTTATTATAAATCATTACAGGATAAATTAATAATTACTATAATTTTTTGTAGTTGGTCCTGGGTCTTGAACTCAGGATCTAAGTGCTGTCCCTGAGTTTTGTTTTTTTGTTTTTCTCAAGGGTAGCATCCTACCACTTGAGCTATAGCTCCACTTCTGGCTTCTTGTGGGTTAACTGGATATGAACTCATGGACTTTCCTGCCCAAGCTGGCTTAGAACCGTGACCTTCAGGTCTCAGGCTCCTTAACTATCTAGGATTACAAGCATGAGCCACCAGCACCTGGTAATCTTTGCTATAATTTTAAAAGAAATTCAAATGGGTTCTTGTTCTTCAATGATACTGTATCGCCAACATAGACTACTAACTGACTTTTTCCATATCTGGAGTTTTGTTACTATTATCCTAAAAGATTAAACTTTAGAACAACAGAAAATACTAGAATTCTTCACTAATGGAAATTAGGCATAGTCCTGAGATGTATTATCCAAATAATTGGGAACTCAGTAATCACAGTCCAAGTCCCTAATGTATATCTCATATGAGAGAAAGAAAGAGTTAAATTTTCAACTGAAAAATTTCCAAGTTTATTACATTTGTATTATGTTTAATGATTTTTGTCAGTCATGGGGCCTGAACTCTGGGCCTGGGCACTGTCCCTCAGCTCTTCAGCTCAAGGTTAGTACTCTACCACTTGAGTCACAATGCCACTTCCAGCTTTTTTTTTTCTGCTTATGTAGTGCTGGGGAATAGAACCCAGGGCCTCATGCATGAAAGACAAGCAATCTACCACTAAGCCACCTTCCAAACCCTTAATTTTGTTTTATAATAAATTTATATTGGCTGGAACAAATATCTCACACCTATAATCCATCCTAACTATGCAGAAGGCTGAGATATGAGGATTGGGGTTTGAGGCCAACCTGGGCAGGAAAGTCCATGAGACTTTTAGTTCCAATTAGCCACCAAAAAACTAGAATTGGAGCTGTGGCTCAAGTGAGAGAATACCTTCAGCAAAAATGCTCAGGGAAAGCAGCACTCAAACCCTGAGTTCAAGTCTGAGGAGCAATGCCCGTGCATGTATGTGCATGCATGTGCACATGTGCACGCACACACATATACACCACACACACACACACACACACCACACACTGATATTTAGGAACTCAAAAGTAAGAAAAGGGGTAAAAAAGTGAAACAAAATACACATCATTCCACATGTTTATTTAAAAAGTATACTTTTTTTTGTTTTATAGGTACCTAAAATTGACTGTCAGCCAAACTCACTAAATCAGGCAAATAATTTAATTCTCAAATTTCTCATTTTTGTAACTTAAATATGACATTATTGACCTTGTATAATAGTTCATTCATTTAAAAGTATTTTTAGGGACTGGGAAGGTGGCTCAGTGGTAGAGCGCTTGCCTTGTATGTATGAGGCCCTGGGTTCGATTCCTCAGCACCACAGAAGTAGAAAAAGCCAGAAGTGGTACTGTGGCTTAAGTGGTAGAGCTCCAGCCTTGAGCTGAAGAGCTGAGGGACAACACCCAGGCTCAGAGTTCAGACCCCATGGCCGACAAAAACATATACATATATATATATTATTTTTTATTTGTATATTATTATAAAGATACTATACAGAAGGATTACAGTTACATGAGCAAGGTAATAAGTCCAGTTCCTATCAAGCATTGTTAACCCCTCCTTTGTTTTTTTCCCTACTATCCCTTTCCTCCCTACCTCCTTCGTTTCCCACCCAGCCCTCCCGCTCCCCCCCACCCCCCACTCTCCCCGGCCAAAGTTATAAAGTTCATTTTCAACATAGTGTCTTGTACATCTCTCTGTTACAGTGGGTCATCCTGTAACCTTATTTCAGCATTTTGATATTTCCCTTCCCTTCCCCAAATTAGAAAAATGTATAAATGAGATGCAGGACACCAGAATCAAATACAGTGACAACAGGGGTTATACCATGGGGGAAAAATAGTTTTAAAACATACCAAATACCTAGGTTCAAAGTTATAGCTATAACCCAGGATGAAGCAGTCTTTATGTATACCTGAGGACATTTGTATGTTTTATGAGAAAACCATTAAAAATCCTAGCATTTATGGTCTGAGAAGGGAATATTACACTAGGTACTGGTAGCTCATACCTGTAATTCTAGCTACTCAATAGGCTGAGATCTGAGGATCACAGTTCAAAGCCAAACTGGGCAGAAAAATCCATGAGATTCTTTCCTCCAATTAACCACCAGAAAACCAGAAATGGAGCTGTGGCTCAAAGTGATAGAGTTCTAACACTGAGCAAAAATCTTGGGATCAGTGCCCAAACTCGGAGTTCAAGCCCCACAGCCTGCAAAAGAACCCACAGTACACCCCAAATATACACAATGGTATATGTGAAGTGCTTATTCCATCATCTAATATTATATATATAACTACTTAAAACAGCATGGAGTACTGATTACTTTCTTCTTTTCCTTTCCTCTGTCTGATCTTACCGTTATTAGAAATCCATGTAAATGAATCTGAGAATCGTGTTGACAGTTACAGAAAATCGCAGCATGACAAATAAAATGTGTCACTGAGGAAGTAAGATTGCATAATGAACTGAGTTTCCCATTCAGTCACGATAGAACTATGCCTTTCAGCAAAATGAGGTTGGTGATTTCATTCCAAAGATGAAGTTGCAGCAATTTTCATCATGAATATTATACAATCATAGGAAAAATTGAGAACATTTGTTCAACAGATGTCAGTCTTTCTTGAAGGAAGATTCTCTCAGTGGACAAGCTAACACTGGTGCTGCTGGTGACAAGAGCAGATATAGTGATGATGATGATGATGATGATGACCATGATGATGAGTAAAAATGTATTTTTATCACATTTATAAAATTATATTGCAAATGCTTTTTCTTTCCTACCACTACTGGGAAGAAATGGGAACTCATTTTGTTTGAACTGTAGATAGTTTTATATGAACCATCAATAGCATTTTGTGAACATGAAAGCCAAGGATAGAATAGCTTTCATATTCATATCTGGCCATCAGAGTAAAAGAGGACCTAAGAGGATGGATGTTTGAACTAAAATATTCCCAGTATGTTAACTTTCTGGGCCTTGACTCTGGCTCTCTGGGTACTGTGTAGCCATCCCCACCCAGTCTGCTAGAAGGCTGGAATGCTGATAGCTTCTGTTAGTGTTATGAAATGTGTTTACAAGATTTGTTGCATTCTTCAGTGAACTACAAGCATAATAGGAACAAGAATTTTATTGACAAAAATGGCTTATTTGTATTACTGTAGCTTTGTAGCTACCAGGTACGATCATTATAACCAAAGCATAATCAAATAATTGCAACCTACCTCCCCCATCTTTCCACTAGACCTCTGTATTTAGTAGTAGACATACTTTAATCTCTGTTCATGAAAACACATCTAGAAACCGATCTATCATGAGTTTTTCATAATAAAATGTAGGCTAATGGAATCAAGAAAGTGGTAGTCATTAGTACCCAGTGATTGTGAGTAGCATCTAAACAGCGCATAGTTCCTCAAACAGCTTTTTTTTTGGGGGGGGTCCGGTTGTGGGGCCTGAACTCTGGGCCTAGGCGCTGTCCCTCAGCTTTTCAGCTCAAGGCTAGCGCTCTACCACTTGAGCCACAGCGCCACTTCCAGTTTTTTTTCTTTTTGCTTATGTGGTGCTGAGGAATCGAACCCAGGGCCTCATGAATGCAAGGCAAACACTCTACCACTGAGCCAACTTCCCAGCCCTCCTCAGTTTTTAGGTCCTCACGTTTTCCTCCTTTACTTTAGGCAGTTTGTAGACTGTGTACAAAGAAAAAGAAATCCAGCAGTCAGGTGGATGCAGAATGAGTCAGGACCTTCTCAGATTTCAGCTACTCCTGGTTAAACAATCAGAGCTTAGCAGAGAGAAATTGAATGAGGAAGTAAAGCACTGAAACCGATGCAGGGTAAAAGAACCCTTCTTGGAAAAGGATTAGGTAGCAAAACAAGGTCAAGCTCAGCAATGGTTTGTTTTCCTATCTCTCTAGTGTCCATCTTTAGGTAGTAGGAGGGCCTGCTATCAGTTGCTGGTGTTATGACAGGGCACATCCGTCCTGGGTCAAACATGCTGCAGTCTGCAAAGCCAGCAGCAGATTGCAGTTCTCTGCAGTCAAGCCAGGCCAGCAGAACTTGTGTAGACTCATGTCCTCTGATAGCTAGAATGCTGAATTGAGGATGTGCCATTAATGGGGCATTTGAGAGCAAAAGCAATGAAAATGTTTCCTGTCTCAAGACAGATTGCTTTCTTTTAGTGGTTTAAGAGCATAGACCTGCTTTGAACAAGGCAGAGCCAAAGCTGGGCCTTACAGTATTTCTAAATGTGTCCCCCCCCCCACTATAGTATTCAGATATCATCTTATAGTTGCATATGAAATGTTTCATTCAATATTTTTGTTTAGATGCCTGAAATATTTAATCCATTAACTGCATTGTAATAACAACATTGTTTTGCCATTTTAACAGAACTCCCTTTTGTGATTTTTGCAGCCACGACAGCCCAATCCTGACTGGCGTTATTCTGCTTCTCTGAGAGCAGGCATGCATAGGTATGTACTTCCTTCCTTCACTCAGGAATAACTTTAACTGGATATAGTTCAGATAAACTGTTCTCCAGAAACTGCTGTTTACACTGAGAAGCTTCAGATACACTATCAGGAAAAGATGATTGTTTTTGTCTCCATGTCTATTCCTTGAAACACTGGAAGTTGTCAATGCCAAATGTTTATGGAGTACTAGAAAATAAGAGACAGGTTTCTATATACTTTTATCAAAATTTCTACAACAATGTGTCAAGCAAGAATTAAAAATTCCTATGAGGAAGTAATTACAACTTGCTCATCCCTCTCCATTTCCTCTCTATTTATACTTTCTGTCTCCTGAAAAAAAATGTGACTAAAGCTAGAAGGCATGTTTCAAGAGGTAAAGCACCTTTCTAGCAAGCACAAGGGCTTGAGTCCAACTCCACATATCACCAAAAATATTGTAATTACTGTAAGTCTGATACTTTCAGACTTGGGTGCATTGTGCAATGTATATGCATAAGTTATCTACCTTGATTTTCTATTTCACACTGACCAATTAACCACAATAATTATTGTGCTTCTTGGTGTTCACCTTGTATATTTCCTTGTCTCCTCCATCTTTTTGGCTCTCTTACTGTAATCAACAGCATGGGCTTTTCAGCCAATGAGCCATATGAAGGGCCTTTATTGGATATCTGTGGACCAAATCTAGCTTACTTTAAATTAGCCTAGAATAATAGCATCATTCTAAGACTCAGATTAAATATAATTTTGCTTTTCTATTTTGTCTTTTTTTTTGTCAATGGCAGGCCTTGAACTCAGGGCCTGGATGCCGTCCCTGAGCTCCTTTGTGCTCACGGCTAGCCCTCCACCACTTGAGCCACAGTACCACTTCCAGTTTTTCAGTGGTTAATTGGAGATAAGGGTCTCACGGGGTCTTTTCGGCCCAAGCTGGCTTTAAACTGTGATCCTCACATCTCAGCCTCCTGAGTAGCTAGGATTACAGGCATGAGCCATGGGTGCCCAGCTTTACTTTGTCTTTTTTGTTAGTAATTATTATTTCCAGAGCTGATCTACTATCTGTTATCCACTCACTATTTGTGACTATCATTGTACATAAAATGAGGAGGGCCAAGAAACTAATAATCATACTATCAAATGATTTAATTTCAAAGAAGAAATAAACTCTAAATAAATAATCTCTAAGCCCCTTGAATATCTGGACAATGGTTAATCAAATCTACACCAAACCTAAATCTATACCTAAAGAAAAAGCTTATATAGAGAGTTAGTGAAAAATTAGTTGTAGCCCATTAAAAATGCATTAAGTTAAAATAAATTACCACCCTCTCAAGAATTATAAATGAAAGAAATCGTTATACTGGGTGCTATTTCTGAACCAGGAGTCATCGAGGAAGGGCAGAAGATTTGTAGTTGGCTTGGCAAGATGTCATATTGCAACTGGGTCATGATTTTAGGCCAGAAAGAGGCAGATACTAGAATACTAGGATTTCTTTAGGAATTCAGAAGGAATTCTTTATCCTTAGTAGAGACAAACTAAAGCTTTTGTCTGTACCTGAGCTACAGCAGAGCCACACAATATGTAAAGGCATGTTTTATACTACCAGTTCTTACCTTTGCAAGTGAATTGGTGTTTTGCTTGAAAACTACCAGTTATGAGATGCACCTTCAAAATGACACTATTGAAACGTGTCATTTTTATGTCCCATTTTCAAATGAACAAGAAAGTCAAATATACTCTCATTCAGAATTCAATTAAGACGTTATGAAGTTTAAATAGGATAAAAAGTAAAATCAAAACTGATACTACACAATCATTTCTTTCTCACAGTGTAGTACACAGGGTTGTTTGAGAATTTGCTCTCCAGATCTGCTTCAACATTAAGATTTAAAAATGGTACTTCCCTCTGGTGGGCTCTCTGTTAGATTCAGTGAGCACAACATGGTATTTATGAAAACTAAAATTACCATAAGGATAGGTATGTTTATTGTCAGTGTGGTATAGCAAGCAGGAAGTCAGTCATGCTTTTACAGTTTATACAAGGTGACTGCTCAGCAATAATTGCTGCAGTTCAAGCATGTAAAAAATGTGTTAGCTTCAGTGGCTCTCCAAAGATGGGAGCAATTACTGAGGGTAAAAGGAGGGCTGAGAAGTCATTTGTGGTCTGACCATTGACTGCGTTGTATGTTATTCAGCTCTGTACACCTGGAAGAAGCTGGTATTTTACGGGCTGGTCCAGGAGGGCCGGATCAGCAGTGGCCAACAGTGTCCAGTGCAACACCAGGTAAAATGCTGGAGTCTCTCTATACTTGTTTGGGTCTGGAAATCGTGAGGAATTGTCATAGCTCTCTTTTTGTTCTTTCTTTTCTTCCATACAAATATGATTTACACACAAAATTAGTAGTATGTTGATTTATGCTTAATGTGCTTCAAGTGTTGAAAAGCGATGACATAAGAATAAGGGTGGGCTGAGATGTAGTTCAGTGACAAAGTGCTTGCCTAGCAAGTGCAACAAACATCCTGGGTTCAATCCCCAGTACCAAAAAAGAAAAGAAAAAATATACCGTTAATGAGTAAGAGTATATAAGGGTATAAAGTTCTTATAAAAACAATCAGATGGCTTTCAAATGCTTAGACCATCCTAGACATACAGAAAAATCTGGTGGCCCACATGTACATAGATAATACTACCTTCAAAGACCTTTTGGTTGAAGACAATGGGAACCCACTCAAAGTAGCAAGCTAAAGGGAATAGATAAATAGATGAAATAGGGTTTCTCATGCATGTGAGTTTTTTTTTTGTTTTTGTTTTTTTTGGGTCCAGTCGTGGGGCCTGAACTCTGTCCCTCAGCTCTTTAGCTCATGCATGTGAGTTTTTTTGTTTTTGTTTTTTTTGGGTCCAGTTGTGGGGCCTGAACTCTGTCCCTCAGCTCTTCAGCTCAAGGCTAGCACTCTACCACTTGAGCCATAGAGCCACCTCTGGCTTTTTTCTTTTTGCTTATGTGGTGCTGAGGAATCGAACCCAGGGCCTCATGCATGCAAGGCAAGCGCTCTACCACTAAGCCACCTTCCCAGCCCCCTATGCATGTGGTTTTTAAGCTAAGCCATTACTCTCCTTAAGTCCAAGTCAGAAAGCCAGAACAGCTCGTCCCTACACAGCAACATTCTCTGAAGACAGAATGTTATTGCCTTGACCTGCACACTGCTAAACATGAGAAGTTCACAGTCTCTTAGAGGACCAATGAGGACTAGTTCCTAATCCAAAGATGCAGAAAAGAGATTGTGTAGTGTGGGAAAAAACTAATTTGCTGGGTAAGCAATGGGAAGTTGCTTGAAATCACACTTTCTTATTTTTGCCCAGTCATTAAAGTGGTATCATAATAAAAATATGACTTTGGAGATTCATCTCTGTGACAGTTTTAGAAAGGGAGGTTTATAGGTTGCTAGAGATTACAATGGTGTCTGTCACAATCCTCTATTAATCAACCAACTTCAGTGAACATAGTAGTTACTAATTATCAAGCTATAATATGCCTATATACTGTGCCAAGTACCTAAAACACTTGATTTATTTCTGATGAAAATCGTGCAAAGGATTTATTGTATATATTTTAATTTTTTAAATGGAAGAAGCATAGAAGTTAGAAGTTAAGAAATGTAGCCAAGTTCACATAGTTTTTGAATAGCCAAGATAGGTTTCAAGTACAAATGTGTCTAGCTTCATATCCAAATGTGTATAATACATATATTGGTGGTATGGCTGGCTTGCAAGAACTTGTTCAAATTCAAATGAATATTTACATACATGCATAACAGATGACATAAGAATGTGAATGTAAAAAGTTCTTTCTAAAAATAATCAGGTGCCTTTCAGATGACTAGGCTAAATAACATGTGCAGCTTAAGGCCCTATTTTTGCTGGCAACTCTATGGGCTTTCGTTGATTCTAATCAGCCAGCATTTGCTATTTGTGAATGTTGCTCAATTCATCTAAGTGAGATTTGTCCAAAAAATGCACAAGTTGACGCAATTTATTAGAGGGCTAATATTGCCAGATGGCAAGGGAAGAACATGAAAGAGTTTGTTACCCAAATCTTCAACCTCAGTGCCAGTAATGGAGGGATGAAGATGGAGAAAGTGGTGTTAGTTTACCAAATGTAGCAGGATAAGAAGGCATCTGGTAAGCTAAGATCTACCTAATTAAAGCATCCCCACATTTCAGAGTTCTTGTTCTCATTAAGGTATTGGGAGTCACACTAGTGAGGCAGGAACTAGCTTTGAATATACATTCTCCTCATTAAGGATGCTAGTTGTGTATACTTCTAGACAAATACAAAATGAGAATCAATGATTATTTCTGGTATCTGGTCCAGGTCTCTACTTCAAATTCAAGAGGATTTTTTTTAAAAAAATGATATATTTAATGAAAGGTAAGGAGTGGGTCTCCATTGCTCCCCTTCCCTATTAGATACTGAAGCATGCATAAGTCGTAGTCTTCATGGACTGTGCTGGATTAGAGCTCACATCTTTCACTTTACTCATTTGGAAGATGTGACCTTACCATGCTTCACAACATGCTTCCTCACCAATTATACAAAGCTAAAAGGGTCCTCTCCTGCCTTCTGTTCTGTCATTTGGGTATTTTAAGGTTTCATGACTCAAACTACTTTCTTCACTTTTTGGAGAGAATATAGCATAAAGACTAAGAATGTGATTTTGATTCATATCTGAGTTGAATTTCAGGTCCAAACATAGATAAAATTTCTAAATTCTTACTTTCTTAATTACCCTTTCTGTAAGCAGAACATAATTGAGATCCATGAGCTAAACATATTGTTTGACATATACTATTAATAAATGTCTTCTCTTCTTACTCCTTTTCTCAAGATACTTTTGTTGTGTGCAATAAATACTTTTGTTGTGGGCAGTTTCTGATATGGCTTTGACTCATAACCTGATGGCCAGAATTCAGTTGCTCTCATTTGTAGGCCCAGGCACAGGCCCTCTTGACATTGCTTAGATCATCCTGAATTCTTTACATTCCCATCACCCCCAGCTCTCCCCTAGAGATAGAGTGAAAACAGGAAAATGCTCTCCAATTGTTTCCAGTCCCAAACAGAGCCTGCATTTCATTGATTCCATTGCCTTTAGTGCTTCATAGTGAAGGTGCAGTTGCTTCTAAAACCTGCTTGTAGTCCACGTTTTCTTCCACTTGTGTCTGTGCTCTTTTCATACCAACACCTGCAACAGCTGCAGCCATAGTCAGAAAGGGATTGGGGCAAGCTTTGCACTACTCCTTATTCATATGTGTTTCTGGGACTTGTTTTTCTCCTTTGATTAATTCTTTTGCTTTGTTACTAAACTGTTCATTTATTTTCACAGTGTGCAAAAGCCATAAAGATACCACTCTGAAGGGATCAATGGAAACATCACCAGGTGATGTTTTCTGCAGTATAAACAAGCCAGGCATTAAATTAGTTAATCCTGATTACTGGTTCTTTCCTCAAGCTTTGCCTCTGTGTGAACAAACTTGGATCATGGGCTTTCTTATTGCCTTTCAGCTTCCCCTGAGACTGAGCAGAGAGAGAGAAAACTAGCTAAATAGGGAATACAAGGAATACAGTTACAGCTTCTTTTTCAGAGAGAAGGTTGCATTTGGGGGAGGGGTGTTAAAGAAGCAGATACTTGTAAAACAACTCTGTTTAACTTTCTCAGTATGAGTGCTTTTTGAAAGCTTTCTTGAGGAAATTCTGGGAGATTATACAAAAATGGTTCCTGCTTTTCAATAAACTGGTCCAGGTTGTAGAGGCCCAGGCTGCTTTGCTGTCATCTATAATTCTTCCATGCTTCTGTTTCTACATTTCCTGGGATCTCAAGACTCATCTGTTGCAAGCCAGGTGTGGTTCTACAGGCCTGTAAGTTCAGCACTTGGGTGTCTGTGGTAGGATCAGTGTGAGTTTGTGAGTTTGAAGCCAACCTGAGCTACTTAAGAGAGACCTTGTCAAAAATAAAAACAAACACCCCAACTCTAACCTACCTAAGACAAAAGTAAACTTGTTTTAGAATGGGAAATATAATTGGCTTATCACATCTTCAAATTTGTGTTCATCTTAGACATTCACAGATATTTTCTTGTCTTCTAAGTATAAGAAAACTTATACTTAACAATATAGTTGAATAACTCTTTTGTTTGGGCAGCACTAGGGTTTGAATTGTGAGCACTGGACTATACTATATGAGCTATACCCTGCTAGGTTTTTTTTTGTTTGTTTGCTTGCTTGCTTGCTTTAGTTACTTTTCAGGTAGGGTCTCAGGTTTCTGTTTTCATTTTTATTTGTCTGGTACCTGGGCTTCAACTCAGGGTCTCACATTCTGCTTTCTTGCTCACAGCTGGTGCTCTACTACTTAAGCCATACTACTAGTCTGGCTTTTTGCTGGTTAATTGGACATGGAAATTCTCAGACTTTTCTTCCTGAACTAGCTTTAAACAAAGAGCCCCCAGATCTCATCCTCCTGAGTAGCTAGTATTAAAAAAAATACTAGTGGCATGAGCCATTAGTGCCAAGCAGGATCTTGTGGTTTTGCCATGCCAGCCTCAGACCACAATCTCCTTACCCATAGCCGTCAATGTAGCTGGATAGGAGCCACCACACTCAGCTCACTGAATAAGATGGGGTCTCATTAACTTCTGCACAGGCTAGCCTAGGAATGTGATCCTCCTACTCTGCCTCTGAGCAGCTAGGATTACAGGGGTAAGCTACCATGTCTGGCTTACATAACATTTTCATTTTGTTATGTATTATAAGTTATTTAGAGACAATTTAGAGTATAGATGAAGATGAACATGGTTTGTATGCAAATATGATGCCATTTTATATAAGCTCCTTGATCATCTGCAGATCTGAGTATTCACAATGATCCTGGAACCCATCTGCCATCGATACCAAGGGACCACTGTTCTGTCTGTTTTTAAAAGAGCACAAGGAATTCCAAAGCACACATCTTCACCAAAGATAACATTATAGCTTGTGAAGCAAGACCTCTGGGCATCTGGGACCGAGGTAGGGAAGGCTAATAAGGCAATCAGGCCTGGTTGGAGACCCTAGGTTTACAATGATTATCAAAGTATAGTTCCAGGAAAAGCAATACCAACAATACCTAGGAAGTTGTTCAAATGTGCATTTTTAGGTCTTACCTTATACTTACCAGATCAGAATCTCTTAGCAAATTACATTTAAACAAATACTCTGATCCAAATATGCTCTAAACTTTAATAATTGACTT